TACCAAACTAATCACCGCAATACTTTTCCACTCCAATATCTTCCAGAGCACCTTCAAACGACAGCTGTCATTGAGCTGAAAACAATTGGGTCTCCATTTGGTGCTGTTAAAGTGGTAAACCGATTATAGATTAGTGACAAATGGAGTAACAAATTATGAGGAGACGAAGCAGAAGGTAAAACGGGGTAAGCTGAAGGAAGGTAAAAATAATAACTTTAAACTAAGATAGTGAAAAAAAACGCCAAAAACAACACACACAACCCCAAAAAAATACCAAACACCCTAACACAATAATCCACACCTTTTCAAACGAGCTGTCATTTGAGCTACAATGGTCCTCTTTGGTGTAATTGTTAACCGTATAAGATTATGACAATATAAACAATTATAGATTATGATTAAATCAGAAGTTATTAATACTTTTGTGTTAGTTGATTAGATAATATTATTAAGTTGTTAATAGTATTTGTTTAAATGTAACTGTTCAGATTAATTTTTATTTTTATTCAATACTGTTTACATTCTCTTTTCTCATAAAAAATAATAATAATATTTTATAGTCCATTTGGGTCTTTTTCTATTTTTAAAAAAATAAAAAATAAAAAAATTTAAGAGTATAACCGTGGATTAACATGTCCACAACAGAAACTGATAATCAGAAGCAAGTGGTGAGCAGCTTGTCAGAATCAATTTTTTTGAGTTAAAATAATTTGTTAGAATCAGAAACTGTTTGAAATAAGTTTAACTAAACAATTCAAAATAACTTTTCTAAAACTAAAAGTTATAAGTTGGCTTAAAAAAGCCCAAACAAACACGCCCCATTGCCACTTGAATTTTAAGATATTAAAATGTGCATAACAATAAAAATAGAAAAATATTTCAAAATTTGAACAATTTAAATTTTTTAAAAAAATTTAAAATTATTTTTTTAATATTTATTTTTATCAAACTAGTTTCCATTTTTTTTAAAAAAACTTTTGAAAAAAATTTCTAAAACGTAAACAAACCATGGTAATTGTCTTCAGGGCCACATCTCCACCACCATTTGGCCAGCAAACAATCATTAGCCTCTAAGACATTCCTAATTCCCAGTCCCACTTGACTTTTGCTTTTGGCAATGTCAGCCCATTTTACCATGTGTAGTTCTTCTTTAAATCTGGAACCCCCTCTCTCCAGGAATGCAGCTTGAATCCTATTAACTGTCTTAGCAACTCCTTTAGGCATCTTGAATAAGGAGAGATAGAACACTGTCAGACTTGACAGAACACCTTAATAAGAGTCACCCTACCCCCAAAAGAAAGAAGAAGCTAGTTTTGACTTGAATTTGTTGAGAACAGGAATTTTGGTGCTCTTTCTCCTTGGATTAGCCCCAAATGGAAGTCCAAGATAAGGAAATGGTAAACTCTGCCTTTTACAGTTCAATCTAGTTGCAAAATCATCCACCAAGGCTTTAGGAACACCTGCTTCGCATACATGACTTTTGTGAAAATTAATTTTCAGCCTTGATAGTACTTCAAAACATCTCAAGATCCTTTTGATGGTTGTTACCTCCATCCATTCAGCGTCAGCAAATACAATTGTATCATTAGCAAACTGTAGATGAGTTGCAGATATTTCCTTTTGTCCCACCACAGCTCCATTGTAGTGGTTTTATGGCAGAACTTAGCTGAAGGGGAGCCATTAACCAAGACTGAAATTCTGGTTGTATACAAGCATTCCTTCACCCATGTAATCCATTTGGAACCAAAGCAAAAGTTGGAGAGCATAGATAGCAGGCACTCTCATTCACTGAATCAAAAGCCTTCTAAAAAATCAAGCTTTAGAATCAGCCCCTTCTTGCTTTTCTTCCACCAATCCACTACTTCATTGGCAATTAAAACTCCATCTAAAATATTTCTACCCCTCAAGAAGGCAGTTTGTGCTTCCCCTATTACTCTACTTACAACCTGCTTCAATTTGTTAGAGTGGACCTTAGATAATATTTTGTACATGGACCAAATCAGAGTGATTGGTCTATAATCTGATATGCTGGTTGGACACTCCTTTTTGGGAATCAATAATATGAAAGAGCTATTGATTAATTTAGAAAAGATCCCATTATCATGGAACTCCTTGAAGAATTGCATCACATCTTTCTTGACCATAGACCAGCACTTTGGGAAAAACAGTAAATTAAACCCATCTGGCCCAGGTGCTTTGTTACCCTCACAGTCTTTGATGGCAGCCTAGACTTCAGCTTCATAAAATCTTTCTTCCAATCTAAGAGATGCAAGGTGTTGACTAATAGAATTGAAGCTTCCTTGTAGCTTAGGCCTAGAGATGCATCTCTCGGTGAAAACCTCCTGAAATGCATGAATATCTCATGCTTGACCCTATGTGGTTAATCATACAACACCCCCTCCACTGAGATTGAATCAATCAGATTTTTATTATGTCTGCATATTGCCATAATGTGAAAAAAATCTTGTATCTTTTTTTTTATATCTATTTTCATAGTCCAGTTCATCCTAGACATCTGTAACCACAGCCACTCTTATTTTCTACTTAGTGACCAAATATTCGTTCTTACTTTTCTTCTCCTAGCTATTCAGCCTCATCTAGGCTCCTAGTTTCAGCCCCAAATCCAGATCATGCAATTCCTTTTCAGCAGCTTTTAAGGAGGTTGCAACATTGCCAAAAACCTTTGTGTTCCATTTCTTTAGTGTCATTCTTAAGTTTTTTCAGCTTCAAAATTGTGGTAAATCCAGCCCATCCAGTAATGGTTGGATCATCCCAAGCCTTTTTTACCACTGCCAAGAAATTTGGGTATAGTACCCAAGCATTTATAAACCGAAAGGGTCTTGGACCCCTGTGACAACCACCTCCTTAATTAATTAAGCTAATTATATGATTTATATTGATTATGTGTTTATGTGTGTTATTATGTGCCATGTGTGAATTGAATTGTGATATGGTTAATAGATATGTACAAGACATGATTTGAACCTGTCTGAATCAGTAATTTATATAAGTTAGAAAGAAATATTTGGATAGGCAATTAAATTAGATTATGATGAGAATAAATTTAATTTAAGTGAAATTGATATACTTTAATTAACCTTATAAGTTAATCAAGGCCTAAGACAAAAAATAGTGACTAAAATAATTTCGTAACTCTATTCATCTAGTTAAGAAGAGATATACTTGTGAGAAAGTAAGTGGGTTTTGTCGGGAGACATTTTCTAGAGAGAAACTCAAGGTTGAGAGGAGCTATACTCATAATCTGTTAAGATGTAGGTATAATTAAGATGAATTCATGGTTAATTGGGACTTTTGTAGCTGTAATTGAAAGTTTAGAACATGCAAGTATAGTTAAGAGATGAATTGAAGAAAATAGTCCATGACTCTATCATGCATGTCGATTATTCAAGTCATTCATGTTCATCGATTTGATTTCCTTGCATGGCTCCTAACAAATGATAACAAATACATTCACATCATCACAAATTCCCATAGGCAACCTTTAATCTAATATTAACAATACTTGTCATGACCCGAACCCGCCCCTATGGGTTAAGGACATAATCGGCCAGTAATCAAGGGATTACCTACGGCCTCAAACCAAACCAGACATAACTCATCAGAGTAAAGGGGTCAAATGGAAGCAAAATTTAAAACTTTGTCCATATAGTTGTGCTTACATTGCATATCATAACAAACCACGCGCATATATGTTAATAGCTCACATCAAAATATGTACTAATACAAATAACTCTGTACATACAAACGTAAATCAAAGTCCTCGCCGACATGACAAAATAAAACAAGATAGCAAAAGGCCGATGACAAGTCTCGTGCGTGAGACGTAAGGGCTGACTTTTCAAAAACCTTGGTTGTTCCACACAGACTTCACCGAGGCTGGGTTGGGACCTCTCTCGGCTCACCTACAAACACATGAATGAGCGTGAGCGAATGCCCGATGAATAATATCAATAAAAAAGTTACACAAATAGTGTTTAGAACAACACGTTTCAAACGGCCTTGGGCCCAATTCACATTTCTATCTAACATATGTACAAATATAGGTCAAGTGATTGCGGTTCCAAACACATCATACGGCCTCGGGCCCAATCCATTCATGTCATACGGCCTCTGGCCCACTTATCTTTCATTCATGTCAAACTGGCCTTTGGCCCATTCATACTTTCATGTCGGACTGGCCTTTGGCCCATTCATACTTTCATGTCAAACTGGCCTTTGGCCTATTCATTCTATCATTCAGATCATACTGGCCTCTGGCCCATTCATTCATCCGTTCAGATCATACTGGCCTCTGGCCCATTCATTCATCCGTTCAGATCATGCTGGCCTCTGGCCCATTTATTCATTCATTTAGATCATACTAGCCTCTGGCCCATTCATTCATTCATGTCAAACTGGCTTCTAGCCCATTCATTCATTCATACTTTCGTTCATGTCAAACTGGCCTTTGGTCCATTCATACTTTCATGTCAAACTGGCCTTTGGCCCATTCATTTGGCATAGCAAACATTGTCCACCAATCGAATTACAAACTTATAAAACTTACATAGAAGTAAGCAATTGGACAATAACATATTTCAAATATCTTTGTTAAGATATTACTCACAGTGATCGGCTGGGTGATTTGCCCTGGAGCTTGACCCTATACATTACATGAACACAACGGGTCACAAACAATTCAATCTGTCCCTTGATTCACATATTCCTCTTTAGGCTTCTTTTAATTCATTCATAATGCTCAATGTATGCCTAAGAGTATTTAGAAGTGAAAGAGAACGGAAAACAAAACATAGAATGCATTTTCAAAATTTCAGAAACAGGGGTCCTCGCTCGAGCGTGGACTTCCTCGCTCGAGCGGACCCAAGAGGTCTGCAAAAGTGCTGGATGCATCAAATTTACGCTCGAGCGTGAAGTCGGGCGCTCAAGCAGAAGGTCTCACTACATGGCTCCCCGCTCGAGCGTGAACTTCCCCGCTCGAGCGTGAACTTCCCCGCTCGAGCGGACATCATGTCTACAGAAAATACTGGGAGCCCGTATTTCCTGCTCGAGCGAACATCAAAATTTCTGGGTTTTTCAGCAATGTTCTTGAGCTCAAATTCAGCATTCAAATTAGCATGTCTTGCATATAATAGCTCAAACTTCACATATACATGTACTAACACGGTACAAACACCAAATTATAACATTATGAAGCTCAATTTCTTGGATCAATTACATGCATGACTCAAATTGTTCCAAACTCATCACCAACATACCAAATTCAAACATTCAAGACTTACACCTCCATAATTTGTACTTGCATGTGGGATATACTCAATGCTTTCAATTTAGTTGGTGAAGAGATGATTAAATACATGGACTTTAATCAAAACCCAACATTGATCACACACATTATGCTCAAACATGGAAATTCATAGCAATATCTTTCATACATGCACCTATTGACTTCAAATTCATCAAACACAACACAATCCTTGTTCTTGATTACCATTCAACTTTGAATTCACAAAATTACAACATTAAACCCATGAATTCATAATCAATCACTCACCTAGAAGCTCAATCTTCCCAAATTATGGTCAAATCTTGAATTGGTCTTCAAGTTATTCAAGCTTTAAGATCAAAATCTCAATTTGAGCTCTTCCTCTCTCTCTAAGCTGGCCTCTCCCTCTCTCCTTAGAGTGATTTCATCCAAAATGAAATGAAGAGAGAAGTTGAGTGCATAGTGCCCTTTTATGTAAGTCCCACTAATCAAAGTTATCAATATTAAATAATTGGGCACTTAATTAATCGTTCTGAATCTAATTATTTTGATCCGAATCAATTTTCAATTAAATTTCACCGTAGGCTCTAAAAATTACGCTAATCACAATGGTTTAATCAATTTCGGGTTTCGTAGCCGATAAGGCCTTCAACTTAATTTCCAAAGCAGATAATCAAACAGATATTCGTACGGTGAACAGATAGAAATTCAAAACTACATATTTTCACATAAATGGCACACAAAATCATATCAAACACATAATCACATTCATAATAAGGACCAATTAGCATAGTACGGAACATGGTTATCACAATACCAATATGAAATTCACATTAAAGAAGCACACAATATGGTGACAAGTAGTCTCACTCCCATCTATTCTTCTAAATTAGTGTCATAACTAATAGCTCACAGCAAATTCAATTCGATAAATTCCCAAAACAGAAGTTCATCACTAGCTCTCAAGAGTATTCAACATATAAAATTCAATTCTCACACTAATTCCCACATAACCATTTTGCACATAATCTGCGTCAATTGTCTTGGTTAGAACTTCCACCATTCATACTTTCTAGTCGGTCAATTTGAGCACACAATTCTTGTTCTTTTCATTGTCCATATGTAAACATAGGTAACAATAATCATAGGAAAATGGGTCTCATAGATTTCATTTTCATTTTTAGATATGTTTACAAAAATTCACATATTCACATTTCATGTATGCACATAACAATTCCACACACACCCACACATGTTGATATAATGCCCTAATTTCTTTTGTAGGACATCCTATAGCTCATTTAGACGCATGTGTGTGATAAAACTCGTGCTCTGATCCCACTCTGCCATGACCCAAACCCTCCTTTATAGGTTTAGCATTATGACCGGCTAGTAATCTGAGATTACCAAAGGCCTGCTTAACAAGAATACAATAATAGGGGCTGCGGAAGCCAATAATTAATAAAATATAACGTCCAATAAGCTGTGCAGACTTACATGGAATAAAGCAAACCAGTATATAAACATATGTACATATGTCCATGTCAAGCTTAGGTACACAAAACATAATCATGACTTGGGGATTAAATGCCATTAACAAAATAAAACCAGTCATAAACAATTTCAAAAGGGTGAACTCTGAACCACCCAAAAAGCCTTGACACTTGACAGTTTGGAACCTCACAGTGAGGCACGGTATTTGGCTTGACAAAACAGAGTTTAGGTTGACGCCATTAAGTCCACTCTTGCACTTGATCACCTACATACATATATAAATCAATGAGTTAGAGCCCAGTGAATAACGTCAGTCTGAAGAGATTAAATGAATGAGGCCCATAATTTATAAAATCAAAACAATGTTCTTAACATGATCAAAGTATTTACCAGATACTTGTAATCAGAAAAAAGTTCCTCGAACCTTTAACCCTTTTGTAGTTTAAGACATAGCGCGGTACAGTTCCAAAAGCTTTATTAAACATTTGACAAAATTCCATACAGAACGTTTGCACCGAAACGAAGCATTTATCATATGTACACATTTAGAATTCATAAAGTTTATCAACCGTTCAGAGTTGCTTACATTTCAGGGTACAATAATACTAAACAGAATATTAGCAAAACGACCACAAAAGACCGAGGACATAGGCATAACGATCATAACGGATTGACATATACATAATGATCGTAATGAATCGACATTTATATAACGATCGTAGCGGATCAACATATATATAACGATCGCAATTGATCGACTTAGACAGCATTAAGTTATGCTATGGAATTTTGAAATAATTATGATATGATAGGTTTTCTAAAAACTTATGTTTGATAAGAATGAATGAGATTCCCTATTTGATCATCGAAAGTGACACCATGAACATGTGGTTTGATTTTTGGAAATCTCCATTATGTCTAAGTCGATCCATAGTGATCGTTATGTATACGTCGACCTGTTGTGGTTGTTATGTCTAAGTCGATCAATTGCGATCGTTATATAAATGTCGATTCGTTACGATCATTATGTATATGTCAATCCGTTACGATCGTTATGCCTATGTCCCCAGTCTTTTGTGGTCGTTTTGCTAATATTCTGTTTAGTATTATTGTACCCCGAAATGTAAGTAACTCTGAACAGTTGATAAACTTTATGAATTCTAAATGTGTATATATGATAAATGCTTCGTTTCGGTGCAAACGTTCTGTATGGAATTTTGTCAAATGTTTAATAAAGCTTTTGGAACTGTACCGCGCTATGTCTTAAACTACGAAAGGGTTAAAGGTTTGAGGAACTTTTTTCTGATTACAAGTATCCGAAAAATACTTTGATCATGTTAAGAACATTGTTTTGATTTTATAAATTATGGGCCTCATTCATTTAATCTCTTCAGACTGACGTTATTTACTGGGCTCTAACTCATTGATTTATATATGTATGTAGGTGATCAAGTGCAAGAGTGGACTTAATGGCGTCAACCTAAACTCTGTTTTGTCAAGCCAAATACCGTGCCTCACTGTGAGGTTCCAAACTGTCAAGTGTCAAGGCTTTTTGGGTGGTTCAGAGTTCACCCTTTTGAAATTGTTTATGACTGGTTTTATTTTGTTAATGGCATTTAATCCCCAAGTCATGATTATGTTTTGTGTACCTAAGCTTGACATGGACATATGTACATATGTTTATATACTGGTTTGCTTTATTCCATGTAAGTCTGCACAGCTTATTGGACGTTATATTTTATTAATTATTGGCTTCCGCAGCCCCTATTATTGTATTCTTGTTAAGCAGGCCTTTGGTAATCTCAGATTACTAGCCGGTCATAATGCTAAACCTATAAAGGAGGGTTTGGGTCATGGCAGAGTGGTATCAGAGCACGAGTTTTATCACACACGTGCGTCTAAATGAGCTATAGGATGCCCTACAAAAGAAATTAGGGCATTACATCAACATGTGTGAGTGTGTGTGGAATTGTTATGTGCATACATGAAATGTGAATATGTGAATTTTTGTAAACATATCTAAAAATGAAAATGAAATCTATGAGACCCATTTTCCTATGATTATTGTTACCTATGTTTACATATGGACAATGAAAAGAACAAGAATTGTGTGCTCAAATTGACCGACTAGAAAGTATGAATGGTGGAAGTTCTAACCAAGACAATTGACGCAGATTATGTGCAAAATGGTTATGTGGGAATTAGTGTGAGAATTGAATTTTATATGTTGAATACTCTTGAGAGCTAGTGATGAACTTCTGTTTTGGGAATTTATCGAATTGAATTTGCTGTGAACTGTTAGTTATGACGCTGATTTAGAAGAATGAATGGAAGTGAGACTACTTGTCACCATATTGTGTGCTTCTTTAATGTGAATTTCATATTAGTATTGTGATAACCCTGTTCCGTACTATGCTAATTGGTCCTTATTATGAGTGTGATTATGTGTTTGATATGATTTTGTGTGCCATTTATGTGAAAATATGTGGTTTTGAATTTCTATCTATTCACCGTACGAATATCTGTTTGATTATCTGCTTTGGAAATTAAGTTGAAGGCCTTATCGGCTACGAAACCCGAAATTGATTACGCCATTGCGATTAGCGTAATTTTTAGAGCC